TCTACTCTTTCAATTTAACATTATGAACACTACAATGAACAAAATACTATTAAATAAGTATTACAGAAAGAAGCCAAAATTATGGAAAAAGATGTTTAAAACAAAAATGTCAAAAGTAGAGAGTCTATGTTACATTATTTTACTTTTAATTTTACTAAGTGGCGATATAGAAACAAATCCTGGACCTTCATACAAAGTTGAAAATTATTCTATGAGCAAGGATCAGTGTCCTTAGTGCCTAAAATATTTCAGTCGACTAAAGCCACACATTAAAGCTTCACACAAAGATTTATCTGATCTAAAAATCTCAAAATCAAAATTACCAAATAAACAGCTCAACCAGAAAGCTAAAAATCATAATAAGATAAATACAATAGCATGCCACTCTTCTGAAGCAGGACCGTCTACAGATAACCCTTACAGAATGGTAATACCAGCAACAAGAGATCCCCGCTATGTACGGCCTTACTACTCATATTTTGACGAAAGCAGTGATGATGAAATATTACAAGAGAACAATCAAAATAAGTCAACTTTACTAGTTACAAATACTGTAACAGAAGATATATCTAAAAACCTTACTTATAAAAGATCCTCTATAAAAGATAATAAAACAAGATTTACTAGGAATGATTCACAACTAAACACCTCAATAGATACCAGCAGTATTAGCATTGATAACACAGGTAACAAAAAACTAAAATGTTCAATTTGTAAAAAATATTTTTCAGTGAAGGGTCTTAAAATTCACATTAGCAAATCTCATCCAGAGAATGGAAGGAAAGAGATAGTTGACAAAATAGTCAACAACACAAGTAACAAAAACAAAATAAAAGGATTTACATCTAATAAGACCAAAAATTCTCTACAACATAATGAAGACAAAATAGCACTGTCCAAGCCTTCAGTGAGTAAAAAAATTCAAGATAAAATAGACACATTTGAAAAGACATTTAGTATAATTTTAAATAATGAAAATGCACCGAGCATTGAATACTTAAATTCAGTTGTAGTTGAGTTAGTATCGGAACTTACCAAAGCAAATAATCATCTTAATGGACCAAAACATCCTGCACAAAAATTTTATGAGGCTAGGAAAAATAAAACAACATTTGCCTACAATGACAAAAAGTATTCAGAAACATCAAATCCTCAAAGAAGATCTAAACGTGATCGAGCTAGAAGACGAGAAAAATATAATCATCAACTGATTCAATATTTATACTACAATGAAAGAAAAAAATGTGTGAGAACTGTGCTTTCTGATGAACAGAAATTATGTAATATTCCAATAAGAGAATTACAAGAATCCTTTCAAAACAGATGGTCAAAAGAAAATAATGGAATGTCAAATTCATATAATATAATTGATGAAACTTTACAAAACTCATTAGACACAGAGGTTGAAGTCAAAATTACCTGTAAAGAACTTTCACAAGCCTTGAAAGGAATGAAGATTGACAGTTCACCTGGCCCTGACCGAGTGTTAATCAGAAGTTTAAAGACATACAATTGTATCCCAACAATATGTAATCTTACAAATATTATGTTGAAATTTAATTTAGTCCCAGAAAGTTTTAGGGAAGCAAAAACTATTTTAATATATAAAGGGAATGATCCCGCTGATCCTGCTAATTGGAGACCAATTTCAGTCTGTTCAACTCTTAGAAGATTGATAGAGAGAGTGCTGGAGAAAAGAACAAGAAATTACATAGAACTTAATGTCAACCAAAGAGGGTTTGTAGCTCAACCTGGAGCCTTCATAAACCTAGCCCTGGTCAATGGATGTTTACAAGATGCAAAAACGAATAAAAAAGACTGTATGATTGCTATGTTAGATGTTTCAAAGGCATTTGATTTTATTGGTCACGCACATTTAAAAAGATGTCTCCAATCAACAGAAATGCCTTCAATATTAAAAAACTTGTTAATAAATTTAATACAAGATAACTATACAAGAATTAGGATTAAAAATACTAAATCTGAAAAAATTTTATTGAAAAGAGGTGTTTTTCAAGGGTCTCCCCTTTCTCCAATCTTTTTTAATCTAGCTATAAATGATATCTTAAATACTATTTCAGAAAAAGAAGTATCTAACAAATTTGGATATAACATTAATTCTAATTTAGACAATATTAGCATCGCTGCCTTTGCAGATGACATAGTGTTATTCTCTAACACAGAAAAATCAATGTCTAAATTGATTAGGACAACAAAAGAACTACTTTCTCAAATTGACCTTGATATTAATATAAATAAATCAAAAATAATTAATATTAAGAAAGGTAAACTTGTTGAAGAGGACATCTACATTGAAAATGAACAAAATGTTATTAAATTCAATACTCTAAAACTTGGGGGAAAAATTAAATATCTTGGTGTAAATTTTGAAAATGAAATAGTTTTTGATAGGTGTGGAGTTATACAAAACTTTCAAAAAGATCTAGAAAGATTAGTTGGAACTAATGTTTTAGGTCCAAATCAGAAATTGAATATCATAAATCAGTACCTCTGGCCTAGACTAACATATATTTTGCAAGTAACACCAAACGAATTAATAAGTATTACATTTCTTGAGGACATCGATAAAATTATTAGAAGTGCAGTAAAAGAAATTCTCACTCTACCAAGTGACACACCCAATTCTTTCTTATATTCCCCTAAAAGATTCAAAGGTCTGGGAATAATTCGAGCAAAATGGGAAAGTTCTATACAGCATATAAATATGTGTGTAATTCTAAAAAACGTACAAAATAGCCATGTAAACGGGCTAATAAACATCCCCCAAAGAATTACCATGTCACTTCAAAAACTTCAAATAGAAATTGATGATATTTTTACACATGATTTTGAATTTAAAGAGAAAAAAAGAATTGGTTTAAATTTGAGATCAAAATTACAGTTGAAAGAATTTGAACTTTGGTCTAAATTACCATGTAAAGGTAGAGGAATAGAATTATTCAAAGAAGTGCCTAGTAGCAACACATGGATATATTTAAAAAATGGCCTTACTACAGGAGAATGGATCACTTCATTAAAAATGATATCTGGTGTTGTACCAGTACGCAGCGTACCAGGGCGAAGCCAGGATAGAACCCTTTGCAGACATTGCAAGGAGCCTGAAACCCTTCCGCATGTCCTTGGCTCTTGTCCCTTTGGTGCCTTACTGCGTAATGCAAGACACCATGCTGTAAGAGCAATGATTGCAGAAGAACTACGAAAAAAAGGCTGGCAAGTAGTAGAAGAAATACATTGCACTGAAGATGGTGGATCGAACAGAAGATTGGACATTTTAATTTATGATACAAAATCTAAAAGTGGAATTGTAATTGATCCAACAATAAGGTTCGAAACATCAACAAACCAACCCCTAGAAGTAGATGAAGAAAAGAGGAAAATTTATAGTAAATGTGAAACTTATTTAAGAAACAAATATAATCTAAATTCAATATCAGTAATTGGCATAATGATTGGTGCAAGAGGGACTATTACAAAATTTTTTGACGAATTAAAAAAAAATATAATCTTCCATCAAAATTAAAAAATGAAATAGTCATAAAAGTGCTAAAAGAATCATGTAAAATCATTCAAAATCATTTATATGGACAACGTTATTAATCTATGTTACATGTTATTTATATCGTAAATTTAAGTTTTTTTTTACTGTGTCTAATAGGCAAAGTTTATTAATAAACTCAGTTTTCAAAATAAATAATAAATATGACACTCAAAATAAAGGATTACACACTATCACTGTAAACTTTTAAATTGATTGTTAAAACCAGCAAATCTGGGCTAGTGAGTGGGGGAAGTGGAGTTAGATACTTTGATCCTAAAGGTTTTAGTTCAAATCCTACCAATTGTTATTTACGTGTTAATGAATGAGATTATGGTCCAGAATAGAACCCAACTTAAAAAGACAAACAATATAAACATTTTTCATTTTAAGATTAATTTAGTTTTAAGAATGGTGCAGTAAAAGCCCCATTACTCAGGACGAGTTCACAGGCTACTAGATGGCTTTTTTACACTCAGCTCAAACAGTAGGCCAGTGTACTTGCTGCACTCGCTTGATAACTGTTATTAAAAAGTGTTAGACTGGGGGCTTTACACCTCACTCACCAGTTCATCGGCAAACTAGATTGTAAAAGTATCGCAAACTATTGTATGTATTGTATAGCAAACTAGATTGAAAGTAAAGTGTGTGCACTCACAGTTGCTTGTGCACTAGCGATAAGGAGGACTAACTATTACAGTTCCTGTTAATGGTGACAGCCATGTGTTAGATATTTTGGTGAAAAGCCATTGTCAAACACATCATTCCAGGAGATACATTACATCCACTTGATTAGCTTTGTTGATGGTTTATTTCACACACACTCAACACAAGACATAAATAAATAGTTTTATTACAATAAGTCTTTCAAGGTAAACACTTTTTTATTTATGTGTTGTTTGTTATGCTAATCAAGCAGATGCAATCCCGCATAATCATGCCAAACAAAACCAACAACAACTTAACTCCGTTATTTGACAACTTTTTTGATTCTGTTTCATCTATGGTTCATCTCTGTTGGCTTTCCGCCCAAACATCTAACACATGGCTGTTATCATTTTGAACTGCATGACAAGTACTGTAATAATAGTCCCATAATAGTCAATTATAGCGATTCTAGGGCTATTCCGATGTATTTGAAGTAGGATTAGCACTGGAGGAAATGATTAATAGTGGGAGTTTTAGGTTGTGCTAGCCAATAAGCCTGCTTTTATACCCTCCGACTAGTAGCGTGTAAGTTGCCCTGTGTGATCTAGTCTGATAAACAAATATAGTTCATAACAGGAGCCCTGAGTGTCTTCCGTTCCTCACCCTTTCCAACCAAGGCTTTGCCTAGGTCATAAAAAAAGTGTGTTTCAATTTGATGAAACACTATGCATTTACATTGCCTATGATATTCTCTTGAAGTTAAAACATTACTAAAACTACTACTACTATTACTAACCTCGTTTATAAGTTTATCATTGTTCATCTTGATATCAATGTTTATTGGGATCTTGGGGAACTCTTGGAAAACATCACTGAGCAGTGGAATTCTCCGATCTTCCTCGCTGCCTGATCCTGTGTACGGCCTGCCTAGAAACATACAGTCCATTGAGCTATAGTCATATCTGGTGGGAGCACCTACCAACTATATCACTGGAACGCACTCTGGGTCCCAGAACCGTGCTGAACTTTGGGGTTGCATCTGAGGTTTGCAGGAGCTCTTAAGTGGGCACGAACACGCTTCGCGTACACGACAGCCATTACAGAGTTGTCCTCGTGGCATTTAAAAACACCCTGCAGACTCTTTGCCTTCTGCGATCGCGGCTACACTTGTGAGCATATATTACGGTCTCGGCGATACCGTGATCGTGGCAACATTTGTCACCGGTGATTGTGATTTTCTTACGACGTTAAGAGAATTAATGGAGCGTCATCAATCAATGAATGAAGGTTTGGTGATAGGAATTGATGGAACTCTCGGCCCATAGCAGATTCAAGTGCAATTCACTGCCTTTTCCTTGTTCAGTAAAATTCACATACAATTCCCAGTCTTCAGATCAGCTATTAACCATGTTTAAATATGATACAGATAAATAATTTTTACTTAGATATTCATTTATTAATATTGAATTTTACCTTATACATAGTAGCCATTTTATTCTATTCTTCATATATATATATATGAATTTGAACGGATGGTGTTTTTGCCTCTGGGGACATCAAAACGAAAAAGTAAATCGGTCCTGTGTCTAGGTCTTACCATGAGACCTACAGTAATAGCTTATTCCCTATACGGGAAATTTGCTAAAAAGGTGATCCAAAGGAACTAAATAATCATAGGCCCACCTGCTTTTGGATCGATTAAATCTGCAGCTTTTCTCGGTCAAATCATTTAAAAAGCAGTTATTCGAGTTTGTTTTTTTTTTTACAAATGCTCTTATAAGGTAAATGATTTGTTTATGCAGATTGTTGTACAGTATTATCAATATTATTGTTTTGTTATGATTATTGTATTGGCACTATTCATGTGTGTTATGTACAGAACAATCATTTGATCATTTTATTTGATTTGAATGGCTTTAAATAACTACATTCTCATTTCTTATGTTCCCAATTTGTTGCAAAGTGCAGATGAAGCTAAAGCTTACCTGGATCGAAGTCGATGGGAATAGTAGGTAAAAGTGGTGGCAAGTCATTGTAGTCAACATCTCCAATCATCTTGTCAAGTCCGGTGCTGCGGAGAAGGCTGTGGTCGTGAGACACAACCACCTGGTTGTCCTTGGTTAGGTGACAATCCAGCTCCAGCATGTCAGTGCCCAGGGCGACTGCTCTGTAGGTGATCGAATGATTTGAAGGACAGATAAACAATGTTTGATGCTACCCTTTTCAAAACTAACTGCTATAGCGCTATAGCGATGGTGAGAACCAGTTTAAGGAAGTTTCGCGTTCACGGATATATATATATGTCTGTGAACATGATAACATTTTGAAGGGATGGTGTTTTTGGCCGCTGGGGACATCAAAATGAAAAAGTAAATCGGTCCCGGGCCAAGGTCTTACCATGCCACCTACAGGAATAGCTACTTCCCTATTCGCTAAAACTTAATAGTAAACATAGTAACCATTTAAAGACATGTTATGACAACACTACAGACTTAATTATATACACAAAAACAAAGAACTATGCATACGTCAATACACAAGTACAATTCCTTTTGCTTATTTTTTGCCACGAAGAAAGACATTCAAGGGAATTGGCCCTATTGTTTTAAAACTCAAGGGCACATTTATTGTTATATCTCTGATTTGCTGCCGACACATAATGAAGACACCTCTTATCAACTCAAGGCTACTCAAGGCTAGGGTCAATGGGGTCAGGGTGTATTGTATTGTATTGTATTGTATTGTCAACTGTAGGCTACATTATTGACACTTCCAGGGCTACTGAAATTCATCAATGGCACAAAGAAAATAGTGTCTTGAAACTTGAGATATTGTTAAGACTAGCTAATATTTTGTAAGAGACTTATTTGGCCTATGTGTTTATATTTACAAAAGAGCTTTTAAGGACAAATGATTGTACAAGAAGAAGTCATGAATTTTCGAACTTAAGATTTATAATATGGATTTTTAGCATGACAGATAGCTTGTTTCAGATGTGGTGGTTAAAACTAATTTCCATATTGAGTCTGCAATGTGATACCACGCTATCTGGTTTTGGAAAATTCTGGCACAAAGACAATTTTTTTTTAGTTTGATTGATTATGGTATAAATTGGTTTTCTTTTAGGGGTTTTAGGAGGCTTTGCTCCTAAAAGCCACTAGTTATTATTTAAGAAGGATCTACCAAAGTCAATTCAAGATGGCGGCTAAACATGCTAATGTTCCTGAACATGCCTCTACGGTACAAGCTCTGGACATTATAAAACTAATTTGTTCCCAATGATTGTGTGCTTGTTGTGCTCTTAACAAATCAGAGCTTGTAGTGGGTGGAGCAAAAATAAATAAACTGTCATTTAGAAGTTAGAATCGCATGTGAAAATGACTAATCTACGGATTTTTTAAATGATTTTATAAATATACTTAAAGAAACAATTAAAAAGTTTCAGTTCAGCCAGAATATTTTACAGTTTATTTAAACTCGAGAAACACTTAGTTTTTTTTTGTAGGACCATGTTTAAGTGGTAAACAGCCGGCAGGTGGATCCCTCTTAATTTGTTTAAAGAAGCTGTGTGGACTTGTGAAATCACGTGAGTTGAGCAAGGTTTACACTAGCATGTAGCAGTGGCACCACTAAATCGTGCCAGTTTTAGTGTCACGGCACTAGTGGTTTACACACAAAAGTACAAAGCCATGCCACTGTTAATGGCGTAGTTTTAGATTACGACAGCTGTTAGTAACAGTGATTGATACGGTTATTGAGGAGTTATTAGAAAAAGCACGTGACATCGTGAGGCGGATTAAACCAAGGAAACCAAGGCCCTGTTGGGAAAGGAAATCAATTAGTAGAAGGATGCTCGATGACTTGCTCTTCTGCATTTTTATAAGCTTATTACTATAGGTGTTTCGGAAAACGCAGATTTATCCTTGGTTTTTTACGGTCAAATAGGTTTTTCCATATAATAGAATATTTCATCCCAACGAATATTCTTTTGCATTACAATATTTACATTCTGGGACTATATTGCAGAGATACATTTCATATAATTCGATAAATCTCTTGATTTCCGCAGGCTTCCATCTATCTTACTTCTTTTTACCTTCTACCTTTTCCGGCATTTCAACCTAAGCTTTTTATTCCTGAATCTGTCTATTTTTTCTGAATACCATCGACTCCATCACCTGTCCATCATCTGTTTCTGTGATATTAACTCAACATACACTTTATTTCTTTAAATTTATTTCGTTAAATAAACCTTCACACCAAAACAATCAACAATAAAACGAGCTTCTAGATGTACGTTACTAGCACTGGCGCTGTGGTCTACACGGGCCACAGGAAGCGGCGCGTCAGTACAGATGGCGGATCACTGCTACTGACGCCACTAATATCCCTTTTGTCATATATTAGTGGCGTCAGTAGCAGTGATCCGCCATGTCGCTCCACTGCTACACTTCACTAAAAATGGCGCGTCAATTAGGGTTTAAACGGTACAGTTTTGGCGCCACTTTGAAGCCAGTAAAAGTGGCACCACTGCTACCAGTCAAAAGCTAGTGTAAACCTAGCTTTTGACAGTTTTGCTTCTTTACATTTAAACATTGTGAGTTTTTTCTTTGATGCTACGCAGACTAATCAATATTTACTTTTAAAACTCTCATCTCAACACTTTAAAAGCCAATGGGGCACAGCCCCTAGTCAATATATTGAAGTGGGAATAGTTCAAATCCTCGGAGCTGTAGCTTTATTTGTGTAAAATTTAAGTCCAATTGGACAAGTTTTTTTTGCATTTAGTTTGTACAAACAAGCAGACAAGACCACACCTCATATCTATATCTATATATATATATATATATAAATATATATATATATATAATACGTGAATCCGTTTTTTGTTAACGCAACTCCTCCCTTATTTGTAGACCAATTTTAACGTTTAAGGTGTCAAAACATTTGTCTCAATATGTAGTTTTGCAATAAGGTTTTAGAATTTTAAAATCCCCACTCTTAAGGGCGTGAGACCCTCTCAAAGGTCGGGTTTTCCCATAAGAAATACATAGAACAAATTTAAAAACAAAAAACAGCTGTTTATAAACTGACACTCATTACCTTTTTGGGAGTAAATATTAATGTTTGTAATCAGTAGGTTAAAACCAAGCTAAACAGTTAGTTATTTATAATCAGTTTTGTTGGAAGAGCGGAAAATGCCTCAAGTTCAAAGAAGAAATATTGAAAACAGGAGGAGACAATTAATTAATAATAAGATATCTTATGCGTATGAGGAGAGTAGAGAATGACAAGTCTGGTCTAACAGATACCCATCCAGATACACGTGCACTTGGTGAGATGAATGATATTTGTCAGTTCTGTTATACAACTTACTTTGGAAATGCAAAAATATACAAAGCCCATAGTGTTGTCACGGTGGTAAAGTAAACTTGCCTAATGTCAGATCAAATGAATGCATGCAAAAATGGTTACTTCTGACACTGACAGATCGAGATAGTCCAAACATTTAGTAGAGACTATAATAATGCCTTGACTATGATAAGTTCAAAGTAGTAAGATTGTACCAAATCTTGGCGGACCTTATGTTTTTATTGTAAACCTTTGTATTACTCGCTCTACTTTAATTGAGAAAAACACAAATGGATTGTTTACTTCTAGGTTGTGTTGCCAATTCCTCGGACTAAAGAATTCACCAACACAGTTCAGACATTTCAAGTCATAAATAAGAAGTTTCAACCCCCAAACATAAGTGAGGAATTAGTGTTAATGTATTTAACGATAGAGTAGGTACGGCCAAGTTTAAATGGATGGGTCCCCCACTGAACAACGTGAGAATGTTCTGATGTGGGGCATATACTGTGACTGACAGACAACATGTTAAGATACTAAAACCAACTTTCAATGGTGTTGCTGCTTTAGCCTATTCATAGCAGATTATGGCTGGCCAATTGGTAACCCAGAGTTTGTTGGTAAAAAATTGAGCACATGAAATGGTTGATATCACCCCACTTTTCAGGTTTCTGTACGGAGAAAATTTGTTTGATTAGGGGGATGTCTCAAATCAAATAAATAAAATTCACAAGTTTTTAGTAAGGCAACAGTTTTCTTTAACTCTCAATGCTGGAAAACTTTGTTGCAACATGTTAGCTCGAATCGAAGCAGATCGTTTCATTAGAAGTTATCAGTTAAAACTAAGAACATGTAAATAATGTATGTGAACCTTGACAACGCAAATAGAGATATTTAAAATTAGTTTCTAACAAGTGTTTAAACAACTCTAACTAGAATTACTCGAATTTAAGCATAACGTTTCCCACGGTGTTATGTTTAATACTATGAGACTCATTGAGCCGCACGGGTTCTCTAGTTTTTAATATTTACTGATATGTTATGCTTTCTTATTGATATTTATCCTTACAGATCATCTGTTGTTTTGACTATTGAAGAATTGAATACCTACTTGAATTAAAATGGGGTACAAAATATTTGGTGGAGTATATACTTAAGTTTTATTACTGTAATCAACCTTAGGTCGTGTTTACACGATACCAGTACAGGTACCCTACCTCAATTAGGGCATTTCAAGTTACCTGAGACAGGTATCATACCCGTCTACTGTTTCCTTTGAACACGGCTTTACTAAATCATTGTTTTATCGTCATTCTTTTACATTTTAAGGGTATTGTTACCAACGTCTCTTAAAAAAATTCTCAAACGGTTCTTTAATTTTTCTACCATTACAAATGTGTTTTCTGAAATTTTAATTCATTATCTTGAGTTAGACCGAAATATTTATTCCAGCAGCCAATTCCACTGTTGCTCAATCAGCATTAGGCTACAATAAATGCTGGTTTTCAATAACCAAAACCAAAAAATCTATAGGGCCAAGGTTTATAAAATGAAAAAAAAAAACAACTAAATGAATAACTCTTTATTTATTCAAGCAAAGTTAGGGCCACATGGCCCTTTTTTTTACACTTAACCTGTTTATAGCACTCTGGGCAAATATTAAATATAGGCCTACTTTCAGAAATTAACATTTTTATATTCTACCTACTAACAGGATGTTTTACCCTGGATCCGAAAATGCAATCAGTGTTTGTGGGAATGAATTCTAAGCATCCAAAAAACAAAATTAAAGAATACACATTTAAGGTTCATTGA